GCCTGGGGCGGGGAGGCGGTGGTGGAAACGCTCTCTCAGGGCTCCCTCCCCATCCTGGTGGGGCACCCCGCGCAGTCCTGTCCCCTGCAGCTGTGCGTCTCCCCAGGCCGGAGTGGAGCGGCTCACCCCCTCCCCTCCCCTTCCTTTCTGGGACCATCGCCCCAAATAACAGGCCTCCTCTTGGCAGTGGGTCCTTGATGCCAAGGTGTGTAGTAGATTAGAAACCAGACTCCAGAGTCGGACAGCCATTCATTCAACAAATGTTTATTGAGCACCTGCTGTGTGCCAGGCACTGCCTGGGCCCCTGCGCCCCTCGGCCCAAAAGTGAGCAAACAGACGACAGTCCCTGCCCATCGGTCGACAGTCTACTAGGAAGGCGCAGCCGTGAGCACACGGGGGATGAGTGTGGAGCCCGTTACAAAGGATGCAGGCCAAGGAAAAGAGCAGACGAGGGTAAGGGACGTTGGGGTGATATTTGAGTCCCAGGGCACCACACTGGGTCACTCCGTTGCCTGGATAGAATCTCTCTGCCCCCCCTTCCCCCGAGCTTTGGTGTTCGAGTTTGTGCAGCGGGGACCCAAAGCCCGTCTGTGCTGTTGCTGTGATAGTGAAGGGACACGCACTGAGCCGAGTCTGGCACATTTAAAGACAACAAATCTTTACAAGTGTCTACAGTGTACAAACTGCTCTGGGTCCCGGAAGCTGTCGGAAAACCTCTCCAGCTCTCAAGTAAGAGGCAGTGTATCCAAGTGGTTAGGGACAAGGGCTTTAGGCTGAGACCGGAGCCTGACTCCTGGCCTGCCTCTTACCTGGCAAGTCAGCTAAACCCCCCACTGCGCCCCCTCTAGCGATGGACTACGCGAGAACAGGGAGGCTGTGCGGGCCAGGGGCCAGGTGGGGCAATAGTCCGGGGGTGGGGGGAAGCAGACAGGTGGTCTGCAGGCATAGTGCCACCCCAGTCATCTTCGCACTTCCCACTGGTCATCGCCCGGGGCTTGGCACACAGCAAACCTTTAAAAATGTCCCATGATGCCCTGGCCGGTTTGGCTCAGTGGTTAGAGCATCAGCCCTCTGACTGAAGGGTCCGGGATTCGATTCCGGCCAAGGGCACGTACCTCGGTTGCAGGCTCGATCCCCGGCCCTGATCGGAGCTCGTGTGGGAGGCAGCCGATCAATGTGTCTCTCCCACATCATTTCTCTCTCTCTCTCTTTACCTTCCACTCTCTCTGAAACAAAAAGAAAAGAAGAAATATATAAATAAATAAAATTAAAATGTGCCATGAGCCTGCCTGGTTGGCTGAGTGGTTGAATGTGGACCCACGAATCCTGGTTCAATTCCGGGTCAGGGCACATGCCTGCGTTGCGGCCAAAACCCAGTAACCAGAGCTCGATCCCCAGTAGGGGGCGCGCAGGAGGCAACCAGTCCATGACTCTCTCTCATCGTTGATGTTTCTCTCTCTCTCCCTCTACCTTCCTCTCTCTGAAATCAATAAAAACATATTTTCAAAAAAGTGTTCCATGAGTAAGGGGGTGAGTGACGGATGAGCGACAAGCCGGCAAGGACCAGAGAAGCGGTGAGACACATGGAAGACAGCTCGCTGCAGGCTCAGAGTCACAGGGACCAGCTAGCCCACATCCCAGCTCTGGCCTCCACCAGCTGTGCGGCCTCGCAGGAGCTGTCGCCACCCTCGCATGCTCTTCATCTTCTCAAACGTGGGAAAAGTGCAGGCGGACTTGCCCTGTTAGCTAGAAGCACCTCCAGACCGGCCATGCTCTCCCAGGTCTGGGCACAGCAGCGGGTGGCTCAGGCTGGCCCTCAGACCTCGGGTGCATCTGAGCCCGATGTTTTACTTCACACTTGTTTACGTTCTGCTTTAGTGCACAGGGACATAGGCACGAGGGTGGCTATGCCAGAATAGTGCCGAACAGTCACGAAACGGAAACAACCTACATGTCCAATAACAGAGGGTTGCTTACATAAACTTCGGCCCATCCGCATAACAAAATGACAAACCGCCATTGAAAAATGATGGGTTGTCATGGAAACATGGCCAGGTTATATTTGTTAAATAAAAATGGTAGGTTGATTTTTTAAAAGGGCATATAATACAATCATATTTTTAAATGTGTATTTTATGTGTGTGTGTATATATATATATATATATATATATATATATATATACATATGATATACATAGATACCATTTGTTTAATGTATTATTTCTGGTTATTAAAGTAATACCTGGTGGTCATAAAATATTTCAATAATTGGAAATGAGACAAGTGAGACTCCCTTTATAACCTGACCATCTCGTGTGAACAGAGTTCATCTCTGGGCAGTAGGTTTCCACTTATATTATCTGTATTTATTGAATTTATTGCAGCAAGCATGTAACATTTTGATAATAAGAAAAAAATAAGGCTATTGGTAAAATTACACTGTTTTATAAGCTGGCTAGTTATTTCATGGGTGTGTCTCAATATAAGAGACACATCCTGTCTCCCCAACAAGACTGCAGGAAGAAATCAATGAAAGTATTGACTCAATGGATGAATGAATCCTAAGACTCCTGAGAAGGTGTTCATAAAGGGATGGCACCTGCTTCTCTGCCTCAGAATGTGAACAGTGTCACCTAAACTCACAGAGAGAGGAGCAGGTCTCAGTCTAAGGGAACCCTACACCCCCTATACCATACTCTCCCCAGCCCCCTGAGGGGGAAACAGGCCAGGAGGGCTAGAAGGACTTGCTGCAGTCACTAAGCTAGAGGTTGCTGAGCCAGGCTTGGAACCTGGACTATCTCCCTCCAGATCCCACTCTTAACCACTCTTGGGCCAGAGCCCCATTGGATTCCCTGGCCCTCCCCAGCATGGAGCCCACTGTGGCCCTCAGAACCTGCTGGCAGCTCTGGCCAGACCAAGATGCTGACACAGGCCTCTGGATATTAATAGCCCCTCTCAGGGCTGGGCTCCTCTGCCCCTCCTGAGGTGAGCCCAGGTCATGGGCCCCACCCAGGGAGAGTGGGGTGAGTGCCCTGGTGGAGAACTGAGGGAGCATGTCCAGGTCCCTGTCGTCTGAGGGATCTGAGTTCAGTGACCCTCGTGTCCGACCCTGGGGATTTCTTGGGAGTTGGACCTCCCCTCTTTGGGGCTTCCTAGCTGGAAGCCTTCAGCCTTTGAGCCTCAGCTTACTCATCTGTAAAGTGGAGGTGATACTGCAGCTTCACAGGAAGGTTGGTTATATGGTCTAGAAGCTACAATATGTAGAGAGCTCAGTACACTCTCATCCGTGTATTCTGTGCACATGGTCATGCACATCTGTCCAGGGTCCAGGACGAGGCAGCACATTCATCATGCTGCGCCCAAGAGGAGGGATGGGACACAGTCTGGGACGTCCTCCTCTGAGGCTGCATCTGAATGGAACACTCTGGAAAAGGAATTCCAAGGAGTCTGCAGGGTGCTCCAGACTGAGTGCTCCTGGAGTCCGGCTTCGTGCCAGCCAGGTATGGGGTAGGGGCTGGACCTTGGGGCCGGGTCCTTCCAAAGGGGGCACTCAGAAGGGAGAGAAGCTGTGCCTCATTTGTTTGTTAAACAAGATCAACTCCCAACCCACAGTGTTGAAGGCTCAGTGTGTGGCAGGGACTCTGCTCAGCCGTTTACAAACATGGTCTCATTGACCTCACAGTGGGCCTTGGAAGGTCATGCTATCATTCCCATGTTACAGGTGGAAAAACCGAGGCACAGAGAGGCCAAGTGACTTGCTCAGGTCTCACAACTCAGCTGGTGGTCAGAGCCCCAGGCCATTCCTTCCTCACCTGCCTAACTCTGGAGCCCGTGGGCTGGTTCCCTGTGGCCAGAGAGCATCCTTTCCTTTGGATGCTCTGCAGCTGGTCCTGGGGAAGCTGGGGGGCGGGCCTGGGCTTCACAGGCAGGCTCTGTGATTGGAAGGGAAGTCTTGCCTCCACCCCCGTTGAGCAGAGAGGCCTTGGTTGCCATGAATAGTAAGACCAGGGCATTTGCTCCTGACTCTTCTGGTTGCCCTCCAGTCCAGGACTAGTCGGCCCTAAAGGGCTGTGGAGACTTTGGGTTCCTGCAGTCCCCAGGTGGGTGCAGGGCGGCCTGACTCAAACCCTGACTCCTCCATTGGGCCCTCTCGGGGTTTGCAGCCTCTCTTGCCCCCTTAGCTTCATGCACCAGCCCCATGGGCCTCCGAGACCTCACATGGGATGGGATAGGCCCTCCCTTGCCCGGACCTCCACCTGCTTTTCCTTCTGGGGGGAGCCCTCCCGGACTCCAGGCCAGCCCCGGAGCCCTGGTCCTATTCCCTCACACTGCAACACTACATGTCATTCGTTTACTCCCCACTGGACTGGAAGCTTCTTGGGCACAGAGATGGAGTCTGTCCTTTGCAGCCGTGTGCCCGGTGCCTAGCATGGTGCCAGGCGCCCGGTAACTCTTATGGGCTGCCTGAAGCTACTCCAGCGCTCTCGTCCTTCACACAACTCAGGACAATGGAGGCCCTGAGGGCAGATCCATTCCCAGCTAATGAATTACCCCTCCCTCCAGTGGAAATCAAATCTCACAGGCTGCCATTTCATTGGACTGTGATGCACTGAAGCCAAATTCAAGACTGATTAAAAAAAAAAAGGCCAGCCTGCCAGCTTAATGAAATGCTGCCACAGAGGGGAGGGGCTGGGCTGGTCCCAGCAGCCCCAAGATGATGCTTTTAATGACATCACCCACTCCATCTGGAGCCCAGGGAGACCTCTGGCCTCGGCTTCACTGTCCAGTCCACGGGACCAAGTCCAAACTGCCCATGGGACAGGCAGGCCTGGCTCGCGGGGGCCCGAACTGCTCGGAGGGAAGCTGGGAAAGGCAGGGCTTAGTCCCGAGCCCACATCTGGGCCTCTGGCCTGACGCCCGGCTGAGGCCAGAGCAGCGGGAGGACTACATTTCCCAGAGCCCCCAAGCCTGGGGAGCGAGCCATTGGAAGATTTAAATAGCCCAGGCCCGAGGCCGGCGCGGCTGGGGACTCCTCCGCCTCCCGGCGGCTCCATTGGCGCCGCCCGCATTGGTGGGCTCGATTGGCTGCCCAGCTGGCATTGACGTCCCTGGGAGCCCGGGCAGCCGGAGGTAAACAGCCATGTGCGGTCCTCCACGCTATATTTAACTGCTGCCTGGACAAGGCAGAGAGGCGGGAGCGGTGGCGGCTCTGGGGGCGGCTCTGGGGGCGGCCCTTGCCTTGCGGAGGCCCTCGCAGCCGGCCTGGCACCGACCCTCCCAGTGCCAGCGCCGCCATGCCAGGCTCCCAGACCCGGGCCCGGGCCCGGGATCGCAACAATGTCCTCAACCGGGCAGAGTTCCTGTCCCTGAACCAGCCCCCCAAGGGGGTCCCGGAGCCACGGAGCTCAGCTAGGAAGGCCTCAGGTCCCTCGGCACAGCCCCCACCCCCCGGCGACGGCGCCCGGGAGCGGCGCCAGTCTCAGCAGCTGCCCGAGGAGGACTGCATGCAGCTGAACCCCTCCTTCAAGGGCATCGCCTTCAACTCCCTGCTGGCCATCGACATCTGCATGTCCAAGCGGCTGGGGGTGTGTGCTGGCCGGGCCGCGTCCTGGGCCAGCGCGCGCTCCATGGTCAAGCTCATTGGCATCACGGGCCACGGCATCCCCTGGATCGGGGGCACCATCCTCTGCCTGGTGAAGAGCAGCACGCTGGCTGGCCAGGAGGTGCTCATGAACCTGCTTCTGGGTGAGTGTGCCCACCACCCGCCACCCACCCCTCCGGGGCCAGCGGGGCCTGGGAAACAGACTGGGACAACCTAATGAGGTTAGGCAGGAAGGGTGCCCCAGAAACAGGCGAGCTTCCGGCCTGGGGAAGGGGGAGCCAGGGACGCGCGGACGAGGGGCCCTGCGAAGTGGGGGCCCAGCAGGAACTACTGGCCCGGGGCAGCGTGGGGGTGGCGCTGGAGGCTATGGCCCCCAGGCAGATGGTGGAGTCTGGTGGGGTTCTGGTGGGGGTTCTGGAGTGTATCGCCCATGCACAGGCTGGGGTCCTTGAATTTTTGGGCTGCTTGCAGGCAGCACTTGTGAGCTGCCCCCATGCCCCCTTGCCTGGCTCTGGGACCTTGCCAGCTGCCTGGGATGGTCCCATAGGGACTAGGTGTGCAGGGGGTTCAGTGTGCTCACCCACACCCTGGTGGCCTCCTGAAATCCATACCTGCTGCTTCCCTGGGCAAGGTGCCAGAGGAGAGGGCCTGGTGAGCTGGTCTTTGGTTTGTAGAAGCCACGTGCGACCCATGCGGAAGGCAGGCCCTCCCCTCCAGCCGGCGCCCTTTCAGGAGCCTCCGGGTCTCCCCAACTTGCCTGGGGATCCTCTGCCTCCACCCTCCATGCTAGGCCCGTGTCCATTCCTCGCCCTTCGCAGCACGGCCACCATTCAGGGCACAGGTGGGCTGGGGTCCCAGGCTAAGCAAACATGGACGAGGGGTCCCACTTCCGAGAGGGTATGGGTTGGACCACTGAGCAGTGTGGTCCCTGAGGAAGTTACGATACAAACGTGTCTCCCAGCTCAGGTCTCAGAGCGTCTGGGGATGGGCGCTCTGTGGGTGGGACACGGGGAAGAGGTACCCGTCAGATGCTTCCTGCAGGAGGCCGTCGGGTGTGGCACCATCGGTGCTTTTCTTTTTCTTACTACTAAATTATTTACATTGCTCCTTATTTGTCTGGAATAAACAGTCCCACGTGGCGCTAGCATCATTCCCACTTTACAGATTAGGAAACTGAGGCCCCTGTAAATAAGCAACCCAGCCGCGGCTTCAGAGCTGGAGACTTGCACTAGGTCCGCCTGCCGTCCAGGTCTGTGTGCTTTCCAGGCACCACGAGAGAGCAAGGTGGCCCAAGGCGCCACGTTGGGGGCTTCTGGGGCAGAACCCTGCTCTCCTTGTCCGTGGCCTCCCCAGGGCCCACTGCAGCCTCCCATGGAGCACTGGAGGTTAGGTGGCCTGGTGTCAGAGGACCAGAGGACCGGAGTGGAGAGCGTGCTCGAGCCCACTGCCTGGACCCCTCTGTCCACAGGGTCCCACCCGGGTGATGGTGGTAAATTCCCTAATGTGCTCAGTGTTTGCTGTGTGCCCGCGTCTCCATAAAGCACACCATGGGGTCTTAGCTTCCTCAGGCCCACGAGGGAGAGGCCATTAGTCTTCCCCACTTAAGGAGCAGAAAGGGAGGCACAGGGAGATGCAGCTAGTGGGCGCTGGGCCAGGGTGAGAACTGGGAGCGAGTCAGGTTCAGGCGGGACCAACCGCTGCTGTGGGTCCAAAGGTGTTTGGTTCAAAGAATGACCGGAGATGCCTCCCTTCTTGAATGACAGTCGTTTTAAGTTTTTTAAAACTTCATTTATTGAGCTTCATTCTGTACCAAATACTATGCCATGACTGTCCCATGTTTCATGATTTAAAAATCTTTTTAATGACCTTATAAGATAAATACAAACACACCCACTTTACAGATGAGTTCACTGAGGCTCAGAAGGGTTAAGGGACTTGCCCCCTCCACACAGCAGTACGTGGTAGGTTGGGGACTCAAACCCAAGTCCTCCAGACAGCACACCCCTCACCGTTCCCCTTGCCATCGGCCTGCAGGGTGCTGCTGTCCTCTAGTTTTTGGGGGGATGGGGCTTGGGGGGTCTTTCAACTCTAGAGCACAGGCTGTGAGGTCGGACTGGGCTTTGTCCAGGCCCCTGCCTGAACCTGACTTGCTCTGTAAACTCAGTCAAATCAGTTTCCATCTTGGAGCCTCAGCTTTCTAATCTGTACGTGGGGTTTCAGGGATGTGGTGGGGACTCAGGGGTAAAGCCAAGGAGCCAGGGAAGAGTCCCAGCTGGGCCAGGAGAAAGTTCTCTGCACCGCTCCCCGTGTTCCCTGCCTGTGCTCGAAACCTCCAAGGGAGAAGGGGTCTTAGCAGCTGGTAAAAGCTGGGGCTCCAGAGTCAGCAGACCTGGGTGCAAATCCCAGCCCTCCTGTGGGAACTCAGGCAGGTGACTTAGCCTCTCGGAGCCTCACTTTCCTCATCTGTCAAATGGGTTGCCGGGCACTTCACTGAAGAATTACGCACAAAGTGCTTGGCACATACGAATGCCGGCTAATGCCAGGGCGGCAACGATGGTCACTAGCACCATCACTGTCACCATTATCAAAAGAAGTCCCAGGTCCAGACTCCCTCCAAGTCCCCTCCAAGCTCTAGACCCGGGAGATGACCCGATCCCTCCTATATCCGTCCCCTGCAGCACCTGGCGTAATGATCCCGAAGGGAGCCGGGTGACGGTGACCCAGGCCCACCCCAGTTCACCAAGCCCACCTGGTTTCCTCGTGGGCCTGGCCTTGGTGGAGAACGGCCTCCACGTGGTGTCGCCACGATCGGTGGAAGCACCTTTATTGAGATCTTCCTGACCATGAAAGCCGTACACTCTTTTCCTAAGTCATTTCTTTACGGTGGTGAAATATATATTACATAAAAGTCGCCATTGTGACCATGTGTAAGTGGGCAGTTCAGCGGCTCTGAGCACATCACATTGCTGTGTAACCGTCACCTCCCTCCGTCTCCAGAGCTTTCTCATCGCCCCAAACTGAAACCCTGTCCCGGTTAAACACTCCCTTCCATCCCTCCCCGGCCTGGCACCCACCCTCCGCGTTGTCTCCAGGCATCTGACCACCCTGGGGACTCCTATATGTAGGATCACACAGTACTTGTCCTTCTCTGACTGGCTTCTTTCATTCAGCATCATGTCCTCAAGGCTCACGTTTCTCACGTGACAGTGTCTCCCTCCTTTGAAGGCTGAGTAATGGTCCCTGGCGTGGCTGGGCCGCGTTTGTTTTCATCGGCCGTCGGTCGATGGACTCGTGGCCGCGCTGCCGTGTGGCCTTTGTGACGATGCTGCTGTGAGCTCGGCGCCTGCCTGCCTTGCGCTCGGGTACAGAGCCAGGGGTGGGATTGCTGGGCCCAAGGATAATTCTATGTTTAGCTTGTCGAGGAGCAGCCGCACCCTTTTCCACGGCAGCTGCACCGTTTTCTGCCCTCACGGCGCGAGGGTTCCCGTTTCCCCACAGCCTCGCCAGCACCTGTCATTTCCCTTTTATTAAAAAAATGATATCCAGTGCGCTAGCGCCATTAAAAAATATATATATGTTTTTATTGATTTTAGAGAGAGAGGGAGGGAGAGGGAGAGAGAGGGAGAAACATCGATGAGAGAGAGAAGCATTGACCGGCTGCCTCCTGCTCGCCCCCTGCTGGGGATCGAACCCGAAACTGGGGCGTGTGCCCTGACCGGGAATCGAACTCGTGACCTATCGGTTGCTGGGTCGACGTTCGACCAGCTGAGCCCCACCGGCCAAGCTGTTGCTTCCCGCTTTTTTAAATAATGGCCATCCTGATGGGTGCAAAGTGGTCGTGGTCTTGCTTTGCACGTCCTTAGTGAATAGTGATGTTTTGCACCCTTTCCTTACACATTCTTATAGTCAGGAAAATGCAAAAAAATTACGCGAAAAGATGCTGAAAAAAGTGAGCACCTCCCGTAACCCCCTTGCCTCGGAATAGCCCCCACCACAGTTTGGGGCGCCGGCCTCTGGAGCTTTCTCTGTGCGCTTACTAACGCATTATAGGTCTCTCAGGTGAGCCNCCCCCAGGAGCTGGGGCCTTCCGGAGCCGCGCACAGGCTTCTAAGATGGCTTTCTGCATGTGTGCTGCAGCGACGCAGCAGGCGCGTTCGCACCGCTGTGCAGCCGACCATCTCCAGGACTTTCTCATGTTCCCAGGCTGACACCCTGTCCCCCGGAAACACTCACACCCCTCCCCTCCCCCGGCCCCTGGTGGCCTCTAATCTACTTTCCAGCTCTGTAAATCCCCTTATTCTAGGGACCTCCTATAAGTGGAGTCCCGTGATATTTGTCTTTTGTAAAACAACTTTTTAAAAATGTGTACAGGCGATGTGTATTTGCAGTGAGAAAAGATTTTAAATGCAGAACGACAGAAGGACAGCAATAAAAATCACCCTCCGTGTCCCCACCAGCGAGCAGCACTTGGTCTTGTTTTGCAGAAGCGGCGCCCTGCTGTGAGCCCCGCTGGGCGCCGGCCTCGCCTGCTGAACACCCCCAGCTCCCCTTCAGTGGCTATAAATACACCGGCCCCATCCTTCTCGGCCCGGAGTCTCCCCGTCTAGATTTGGCCACAGCCTGTTCCGTCGTCTGCTTAGGGGCACTGGGTGGGCGTACGTCTCTCGGTGCTGTGGAAAGCGCCTCGGTGGGCATCCTTTACCGGGGGTCAGGTGCGCGTCCCCGATTATTTCCCGAGGACACACCTGCAAATGGAGCAGACACCTTCCTAAGACTGCGGCCAAATGCCCTTCGGAAAGCGGCCACGGGTTTACCCTGCCCCGCAGCACTACTGGCTGGTGCCCGCCTCCTGGAGAAGCCAGTGCAGGATCCAGGCAGGGTCAGCCCCCAGGCCAGAAGAGCCAGGACCCCGCCTCCCAGCCCCAGCCAGCAAGAAACACAGCCCCCAAACCTGTCCCCCTCACCAGCCAGCAGGAGCCCCATCTTGGCTCCCTCCCCAGGGACAGGTGTCCGGTGTCAGGACTTCAGGGCCTGGGGAATAGTTGTGCTTCCTGCATGGGGGGGCGGGGGAGGCAGGCATCTCAGACCCCAGNTAGTGATGTTTTGCACCCTTTCCTTACACATTCTTATAGTCAGGAAAATGCAAAAAAATTACGCGAAAAGATGCTGAAAAAAGTGAGCACCTCCCATAACCCCCTTGCCTGGGAATAGCCCCCACCGCAGTTTGGGGCGCCGGCCTCTGGAGCTTTCTCTGTGCACATACTAACGCATTATAGGTCTCTCAGGTGAGCCCTGCAGGGCTTGCCCAGCTTGACCTTGTTCTCACGGCCCCTGATGCAGCTGCTGGGCCCTGTACCTCCCGCTGGGCTGTGAGCTTTCCTACGTCCCCCCCACCAGCCCCTGCTCCCGGCCCCCAGGACAGCTTAGGTGACAGCCCCTCCTCAAGGCTTGTATAGACTGTCCCTGACTGATGGATATTTAGGCTGATCCCAACCTTCGCTGCCAGGAGCAGTGATGCTGTGGGAGGCGACACCCCCCAGCTCTGCAGAGGTAGGACATTCTTCCTGCCCTTTCCCAGCTTCTCTCTCACGGTCTCAGTGCAGCTCAGCCAGCAAAACAGCCTGTGTCCCGGTCAGTGTCCCCGTGGGGGCCCTTTGGCGACCCCCGACCAGGTCAGTGCCCTGATGCACCGTCCAGGCAGCTGCCCCTGCAGCTGATGCAGGAGTGAAGGAAGGAGGGGGGCCGTGGGCAGGCCCCAGGTCTGCACTGTCCCTGCCCAGAGCCACCCCCAGCAGCGTGGCGCTCAGCTGGGGGAATAAACGTGCCGTAGACCTTCTACGCCCGTGACGACACCCTTGTACCCGGACAGTCTGCAGAGACAGAGCCAGTGTTAGTATCTGGGTTCTTCAGGTGAGAAAACCGAAACCTGCAGNGCAGTGAGAAAAGATTTTAAATGCAGAACGACAGAAGGACAGCAATAAAAATCACCCTCCGTGTCCCCACCAGCGAGCAGCACTTGGTCTTGTTTTGCAGAAGCGGCGCCCTGCTGTGAGCCCCGCTGGGCGCCGGCCTCGCCTGCTGAACACCCCCAGCTCCCCTTCAGTGGCTATAAATACACCGGCCCCATCCTTCTCGGCCCGGAGTCTCCCCGTCTAGATTTGGCCACAGCCTGTTCCGTCGTCTGCTTAGGGGCACTGGGTGGGCGTACGTCTCTCGGTGCTGTGGAAAGCGCCTCGGTGGGCATTCTTTACCGGGGGTCAGGTGCGCGTCCCCGATTATTTCCCGAGGACACACCTGCAAATGGAGCAGACACCTTCCTAAGACTGCGGCCAAATGCCCTTCGGAAAGCGGCCACGGGTTTACCCTGCCCCACAGCACTACTGGCTGGTGCCCGCCTCCTGGAGAAGCCAGTGCAGGATCCAGGCAGGGTCAGCCCCCAGGCCAGAAGAGCCAGGACCCCGCCTCCCAGCCCCAGCCAGCAAGAAACACAGCCCCCAAACCTGTCCCCCTCACCAGCCAGCAGGAGCCCCATCTTGGCTCCCTCCCCAGGGACAGGTGTCCGGTGTCAGGACTTCAGGGCCTGGGGAATAGTTGTGCTTCCTGCATGGGGGGGCGGGGGAGGCAGGCATCTCAGACCCCAGCTCAGTGAGAGGAGCTGAGAGTGGGGAGTGTGAGGCCCGAGGGCTGCTTGGGCCCTCAGAGTCACCTCTGGGATGATCCCCACTCTTTGTCCATGAGGGGAGGGAGGCTCCAAGGGATGGACGTGCCAAGGTCATGCCATTTGCTAGCCTCCGACCTTGAAGCAGCTCTGACTCTGGGGCCCAGGTACAGAAGCTCTGCCCTAGTTGGGTGCANCCTTGAAGCAGCTCTGACTCTGGGGCCCAGGTACAGAAGCTCTGCCCTAGTTGGCTGCTGTGAGCAGAGGCCCGGGGAGGTTAAGTGACCTACTCCGGGTCACACAGCAAGTCAGGGGCAGTGGGTAGCAGCCACTCTCCTGACCCTGGCACCTGAGCTGCCTACCTAGCAGACCTTTCCTATGGGGGCCCGCGAGGCCTCCCCCCGAATCCAGGAGGGAATGTAGGTCAGGGAACTCGACTGGGCCATGTGAACAGGATTCACGGAGCCTTGAGTGATGGCACCATTTGCTGCTATTTCTGGGCCCAGACTATGTGCTGACAGTGTCAGAATCAGTCACACTGAGGACTGGCTAGGAGGGGAGAGCGGCCCTGAGGGCCGAAGGGTGGGGAGGAGGCTCGTGGGAGGTTATTGGCTTTGCTGGCTGCCGGTCCCTTCCTCAGCCATGTGACACCTTGCCAGCTGTCCACCAGCCCCAGGCCTGGCCCACACCCGACACATCCAAGATCCGAGATGCCCCAAAACTGGAGGTTAAGTGAATGAATGAACCAGGCACAGGGTGGGCTGGGCCAGCTGTAGAGATAAGCCGAGGTGCCTACAGCCGTGGGTTCCTGGGCCCTATGACATGGCAACTTCCAACTGCAGGCTGCCCCACAGCACGTGGAGAGCACCCCGGCTTGTTTTAAACCTGCGCCCTGTAGACGGCCAGAGGGTCTGGAGCAGTGGCTGCCGCCGGTGGCAGGGTCAGAAGTGATTTCAGGTCTTTTGTGAATGTTCTACAGTGAGCAGCTACCGTGTCACTATTTTCAACAGTTTTGGGTTTTTTTTTCCAGAGTGAGAACAGTAACAGGCCACCCCAAAGTCTCCAGGAACCCACCCGCGTCAGGCACAGCGACGCCTTCTCGGACCCTCGCTGTGAGCCAGGCACGCGGGGACCAACCTCCTTCATAGGAAAAGTCCAGAATAGGCAAAGCCACAGACAGACAGCAGACTGGGGGGCAGCGGGGCGGGGTGGG